GTTAGTTCTTTGGGTTATGATCTACACCCCCCTGGAGATTGCTGTCCATCTTCTAAGTCGGTCTGTTTTTTTATTATTTAAACAGAGGAAAGTTTAAAGTTATCAAGGATTTTGCTTAACTTGGCTCCATAATCAACACCCATGGAAATAGTAGTTAAGAAATCAAACAATATGTTTCATTGGGCAAATCTGCTGCTGAAGACCTCTTTACAGTCTTGAAGATCAAAGATGTCACTTTAATAACTAAGGTGCACCTGACTTAAACCAGGACATTTTCAATATGGGTGTGCAAGTTGGTCAATGAATAAGGAATAGTAAAGAAGAGTTGATGGTTTTAAATTGTGTTGCTGGTGAAAATCTTGAATACACCATGAAGTGCAAAAAAAATTTAAAAATAAAAAGAACAACTGAATCTGTCTTGGACAAAGTGCAGTCAGAATGCTTCTTAGTATCAAAGATGATAAAACCGTGTCCTACATACTTTGTGTACATTAGCCTGCCAGTCCCTGGATAAGGACATCATGCTTGGAAGAGTGGAGGGTCAGCAAAAGGAAACCCTCAAGGGGATAGGTTGACACAGTGACTGCAAACATAGGGTCTTAGTGCAGCAGAGATTGTGAGGTTGACACAGCGTGGAGCTGGGTCTGGTTCTTCTGTACTTTGAGTGGCTCTGAGTGGCAGCTGACTCGATGGCACCAAACAGCACTGTTTGGCTGAACGTTGAGCCATGGGTGGTGGAACTCCTGTGCTGCTTGTTATATGCTTTTAGGTTCATAGATGCAAAACAGACGATCACTCAAAATCGCTTCCATTTGTTTGAAATGGCACACAAAGCAGGGGGCACCAAGCCTAGTTCTCATACACAGTAAATGCTTAGTCTGTGAACCACTGGTATTGTTCTAACAAAGTTCATATCCTGTTCTTGTTCTGAAGTATCAGTTTGTCAGTTCCAGTACCTTGAGATGCTGTGGATCACAGAGCAGAACCTTGCCCAGACCTGTGTCGTCTTCATGATCGTTGCTATGTCTGAGCCAATATCTCATTGAAAATCGCCCTTTTCACTGACCCCCTGCTTTACCAGGCAAGACATCCTTCTCCAGGACTTTTCTAAAGTGAGTTAGAATTCCACATCTTCATTGTAAGATATGTCTGGCTATTTTTCCTCTAAGACAGATTTGCTTGTTCTCCTGGTGCAAGGATGACACAGGATAGCACAGAATTCAGATCTGTTGTTCACAGAGTTCATATGAGTTGTTCTCAACTCAGTGGCTCTTAACAACAAGCGCCAACACAATGTGTAGTGTATTCAGTATTCTTCAACAACTTCACAATTCACAAGTTCAAGTTCTTCTTCAGTTTTTTTCTCATTGTCCAGTTATTGCATATGGAGGGGGCAGTTTCACATGTTATTTTCTATCATTTTCTTTGACATCATCCTTATCCATGTAAGTCTGTCCATCTGCCACAGATGGTGTTATATAGTTTTTATGTTTTGTTTCCCCAAAGTTATGCTGAATTCCTCATGCTGGCACCTGTAGGTGTTACTTTATATGGAAAAAAGGGTCTTTGAAGAAGCTCTCAGAAAAGTTGAGCACATAATGGGTCCTCATCCAACCTGAGCAGTGTCTTACAGAAGAGACGAGGAGACACAAATCAAAAGGAGGCATATGATAATGGAGTTACACTGTAAATATAAGCCAAAGAACACCCAGGGCTTCCATAAGTCAGGAGGGAAGGACTTCTCTCTAGTTCATGGCCAGATCACCCTGAACTCAGACATGCAACGTCCAGGACCTCGAGACAATACATCTCTGTTCTTTAACACCCTTCACTCTTTCCTATCTTCTTATAACAGCTGTAGGAAGCTCATACAGGTGTTCAAGGTTACTCAGTCCTTCTGGATTCAGAGCTTTAGAGAATGGAAAAAATCATAGACATTTAGAGTTAATGATCCCAGATGGGAACACTGCTGTCTGCACTTCCTGATTCAAGCAAACCTCTTACCATAATGTTTATTCCCAAATACACCAAAGCCCTCTGCTTGCACCTTCCTCTGGCAGCGCCCGCAATCTGTGCTTGCTGCCAACCAGAAAATCAAAAGCGGGTGACTGGTTGAGATGTCTAGACTGGGGATGTCTCTCAGGCAGGAGCTGAAAGATTGGAGATGTCTGTGATATCTAGGGGTGCTGACAGCAGCCGCTGGGTGGGGCAGGAGTGGCACCGCAGAAACCTGCCCCAAGGTGACGCTCTCCTTGACTGGAGGGGAGGCTGCCAAGGCTTGGGGTCAGCTGCTTAAAGCAGACACGGGATGGAGGCAGCTTTCGGCCCACGGAAGACAGCGCTGACTGGCACGGTTGGGGCAGCCTTGATCAGCTCTTTTCACATGGAAAAGCATTCGCCTCAGGCTATTGGCTGGGCACAGGGGCTGGCAAGGTCAGAAACCATCGTGCAGAATCAACAGACTTGCTCAGCTGAGTGGTAACTAGCTTTGAGCAATGCCAGCTTGCCCGTGTACTGAACCACGCCTGGCTGGTGCAGGAGAGGAGGGCTTGGCAAAGGGCAGGGGAGGCCTCTTCTGTTTAGGAGAAGAATGCAGGGAGAGCAGGGAAAGGTCACAGTCAAGAGCGCTTGGGAATCATTTCCTGAAAATGAATGTGCATAATTGGATCACTGTTAATTTGAGGAGTTAAAAACAGACTTTTTAGTTGAATCGTCCTGAGGGTGGGGTTACTTAGAGAATTATAATAAGAGTTCTTCCTTGGAGAGGGAGTTGATTGAAGACCCTCAACCAGGTGGATTGACGCAGTGACTGCCGTGGTGGACTCTTGCGTGTCAGGAACTGTGAGGACGGTACAGGGTTCAACTCTTTTGTGCAGTAAGTTGTGTTCAACTTGATGACACCTAACAACAACAACAATTTACTATTGGCTGAAGTTATCAACTTGTTAGCATTTAAGTAACACTAGTAGGGTATAAGTGAGCAATGCTGTGTTCCCTTGCTCTGGACAAAGCTTCCTGGTCTAGGTTTTGCATGAGCACAATCAGGTGTCCTGAAATTCGCCACAGTTTTTGTTATAATCCACACAATCAAATGCCTTTCCACAGTGGGCATGTCTCCTGGAGGGACCAGTACTTGGAGAAGGACATGATGCTTGGGAGGATAGAGGGTCAGCACAGAAGAAGACGCTGGACAAGATGGATTGACACTGTGACTATGGCAGTGGGGTCAGATGTGTCAGAGACAGTGAGATTGGCTCAGGCCAAGGCAGGGTTCAGACACATTGTTCATAGGATCACTGTTAGCTGTAGTCAACTCAGCACACATCAACAACAATGAGGTGATGAACTAGTTGTTGGTTTTAGGTGCCTTCAAGTCAAGTACAAGCTATAGCAGAGTGGTTAGGTGACAACAAGTTGACTATAACCCACAGTAACCCGATGAATAATTGGTCTGAGCCTTGCCTTATTCTGAGCCACTCTCATAATCTCTAATAAACTGAACCCCATTACTATAGTCATTGCATCAATCCATCTCGTTGAGGGTCTTCCTCCCTTTCCCTGACCCTACGCCTGTCCCAGCATGATATCTTTTTCCAAGGCCTACTTCCTGTTATCCACCTGCTCAGAATACATGAGACACAGTTTCACCACCCAAGCTTCTCAGGAGGCCCTTAGACGCACTTCATCCTAGACAGATTCGTTCATCCTGGAAGTCCTTGGGGTTAGTGGAGCGTTACTGAGTCCCCTGTTATTAAAAACCCCCTGTCAACAGCAGATGAACTAGTGACAACTCACATCGCTGCTACCCCATCAAGACAGCCTTCAGTCAGCAGCCAGTGAATGTTCTACGCCTTTGCCTGTGTTCACCCATTTCATAGATGTGGAGACTGACACAGAGCATAATTGCCCAGTGTCACACATGTATAGTAAAAAGAACAGAGCTGGGTTTTGACCGAACAAGTCTGCCTCTGGAACTTATGCCTGAATGGTTAGGTAGTGTCGTCCTCAAGCAGAAGACACTTTGTGAGTGACCCTTTCAGGGGCCATCAAAAGGAAAAACAAATGTATCCTGGAAAAAGAACAGCCAGGAAGCAGCTTGGGGGGGCACGGGGGAGACGGCATCTCCTACATTGAGCATGTTGTCCCTGAACAGATGCTCTTGTTGTGTCCAACAACAACAACAGGAGAGATGAGTCCCTGAACAAGTGCTCTTAGTTCCATTACGTAAGTCGTCTTGGTTTCCTGGCCTTGCTCTAACAGAGATGTACCAAGTGGAGAGTTTGTTTGTTTGTTTGTTTGTTTTTTATTATTATTATTTATGTGTGTGCCGTCAAATCGGATCTGACTGGCACAGGAGGTGATTGTTCATCCTTCTTCAGCAGAGCATCTGGTGGATTTGACCTGCACACCTCTGGTATTACAGTGCAGCTCCTTGCCGCTAGGCCACCAGAGCTCGCCCAAGTGGAGTTTTAACAAATGGAAATTCATTCTCCTACAGTTTAGCTGTTGTTCTCATGTGCTGTCAAGTTGATTACAATTCATAGCTACTCCGAACAACAGCTCTGAACCCTGCCCTGCCCTGAGCCAATCGGTCGTTAACACACCTGACCCCATTGCCGCAGTCCCTGTGTCCGTCCGTCTTCCTTCCTTCTGTCGAGGGTCTTCCTCTCATGTGCTGATCTTCTACCTTTCCAAACACGATGTCCTTCTCCAGGGACTCACCCCCTCCTGGCAGCATGTCCAAGTATGTGAGATGGAGTAGTGTTGTTGTTGTTGTTGTTGTTGTTGTTGTTGTTGTTATGAGGTACTGTTGAATCAAGTACAACTCACAGGGACCCGATGTATAGTAGGCAGGACCTCATTGAGGGTCTTCCTCTCTTTTGCTGCCCCTCCACCTTTCCAAGCCTGATGACCCATTCTAAAGAATAGCTTCTTGTAGCAACACTCCCAAAAGACATGAGATGACATTTCACCATCCTTGTCTCCAAGGAGCACTGTTGTTGTTATTGTTGTTGTTGTTGTTGTTGTTGTGTACCATCGAGTTAGAACCAACCCACAGCTGACCCTCCAGTGGATTTTCAGAGGCAGTTAATTGCACGGGAGGAGATGGTCCCATGGAGCAACTGATGGATTCGAACTGTGTGCTTTCAAGATTGCAGAGCAGCGTCTTACCACTAGGCCATTAGAGCGCCATCAAAATTCAGGGTGCTGGCTGTAAGGCAGGTCCCCTGTCTGTCATTTCTGTCGGAAGGTCCTTGTTTCCTTCCATGTCTATAGACTCAGCATTCCTTAGAGACCTCCATGTTTAGAGGCCTTCTCTAATGCCAGGGAGCTTCCTAGCACAGAGACGTAAGCCTGAAAGAACATGCTCCACCCACTTCTGGCAGTTTTCTCTTGACGCTGAGATCTCTCTGCCCAGCTCATTTTCCTTCTCTCTTCTTTCTAATGAGTTACAAGGTATTACAGATCACACCCTAGAGACGTTTTTCTGTCGTGGAGGAGGAGTGTGTTGCATTCTACCCTTAATCCTCTTGGAACTACTGAATTTATCGTGGGGGATCATTACAGAGTGTCCACATTGTATCATTACCCACTTGTGTTTTGAGGTATACAACACAATCCATGAGAGACATCATGGTTGAAAAAGGACAAGGTCTTTGATGCAAAAGGGAGACTCCCACTGCGATGGACTGCCTTGGTGGCTGCAGTAGTGGGCTCAGGCCTGGCCACTGTGGGAGGATGGCCTAGGACCAAGCAGAGGACAGAGGAATGATACATTCTGATTACATTGCTAGTGAAAAAATGTCAGGTATACCGTGGATTGTTCAATTAGAATGAACATTGTGCATTCAAGAATATTGACTAAACATAGAATATTCACGAATATACCATGTTCAAGAATATTGGCTAGTCAAGAGTCTTGGAAATACCATGGAGTGTTCCATTGTAACTCCTGTTTGCTGTAGTGAGAAGGTTGGTAAGACATCTGGTTTTGTCTGAACAAGTCATAAGAAAAGACTCATTGTTATTAAATAGCATTGTGTTTGGTAACACAGAGAGTCATCAGGATTAAGGAACACTCTCAATGAGGACTAATAATATAAGAAGCTCAACAGTGGGCTAAAATGCATCAGTGATCACAGATATGTTACAGGGCACAGTGACGTTATGTTTAAGTAAGTTGAGCATAAGGAAGAGACAACATGATGTCACCTGACAACAGCAACAACAGTGTGGCAACAGGGAGAACAGCACCAAGTGCTTTCTCATTGGCATTTTCAGAAGAACTTGCTCCCTTTGTATAAAATAGGATTGTTGTTGTGGTTATGTGACTTCGAGTTATAGACGACTCATAGCAACCCTATGAACGAAAGACCTGAACACTTAGATAACTTCTATCATTTCTCCACGTTCATAGAGTTTCCAAAGGCAAACTGTTGTGGAAGCAGATGCCACCCCTGCTTCCAATATAATTAATCCTTATTATTCTTGGATTCTGAGTTCCTGAACTTGCTCACTTACAAATTTATTTCTAAGCTCCCAGGCAACATTCTGCGTGCTCTAGCCATCATCAGTGAAAATGTGCAGAGCAACAACAACAACAAAAAATTGAGTCATTCAGGAGCTGTGATCCCAACAAAAGTCGAACAAGATCACAGCGTGTCTTCCTGTCTCGGCTCCCAGATTGTAAATAGCTGTCTTTTTTGTAACCTATGTAGCATACATTTTTCTAATCATTGGTCTCTTTTTGTGTGTGACTTTGTTTAAAATGACCCCAAGAGTTATGCCCAAGTACTGTCTAGGCCCTGAGCACAACAAGGCCAAATTGTATCTTACAGAGAAGGTAAGTTCGACGCACTCTATCCAGGCACCAGTTACAGTGCTGTTGGCCTTCAGGTCAATGTTAATGAAGCATCAAGATGTATTAAATACGATGCCTTCTGACAAGCACACTTAAAGCAAAGCTATTAGGTTGATGACAATATTGTGACCAGAAGTCGACAGAGACCTAACTCTGTGTGTCTTTAAGGAGCAGTGGGTCAGAATTCACTAATTCAGTGTCCGTGGGAACTTGCTACATCCTAACTATTGTGAACATCAAGAATATCCTGATTTTGTTTGGTCCTTTCTAGTTATAAAGATCAAGTGCTGCTGGACAAGTTAGCCAAGTTGATTCTCATCTGTGAATAATATAGTAAAAAAATCTGTGAAATCAGAACATTTGTAAGGTGGAAACCTGTCAGAAAAGGGAAAACTGAAATGTAGTCCCTAAAAATCAGCAATGGAGGCATTGTGAGGCTGTCCGCTCACAAAGGTAGGAAACTTGTGCTGCCTGGAAGAAAGGACAGCCTCCACAAACACCCAACTCTCCCTGATCTCACTATATTTTATCAACTAGGGTGGTTAGTGTCTTGAACTTGAACTCAAACTTGTTACTGTCTATTTGACACTGACTCATAGCTGACCCTCCTGTGGGTTTCTGAGGCTGTAAATTGCATGGGAGGATGTGAGAATGTGTTGGCAACATGAGGATGGCCAAGCCTGACCTCTGTTAGTGCCATAAAATGGAATGGTCTCCATCGGCAACATCCACAGTGCAAAGTCAATTCCCAAAAGGTCAGAAATGGCCCCCACTCTCCTGGACCAATGGCTAGAGATGCAATTTTGAGTGATAACTAATCCATGACAGTACAGAAGAGATTGCCCATCTTTTTCCCAAGTTGCCGCTAGTGCATCTGAGCTGCCGGAGAAACACTGCCTTGGGATTAGAAGGGGAACTCCCTGTGGCCTGCGCCATCAGAACTCCGCAGGTACGGAAGGGGTGCTGTTAGTAAACAGCAGCTAGTTCATTTCTCTCCTGGTGTACTGGGTTATGAGTTGGACTGCTTGCTCAAAGGCCAGTAGTTTGAATTCACTGGCTGCTCTTTGGAAGAAAGATAGATAATCTCCTGTCATAAAGATGTGTAGGCGTGGAACGCTGTTGCAGGGTCACTGTAAGTTGGAATTGGCTGAAGGACATCATTGCTCTCAGATTGGGGCAGTTTGGAGACTACCTACCTACTCACGCAGCTTAGACTAACAGTAGGAAAGATTCAAAAGTAGCAAAGATGTTATCTGATCATAAACCAAAAATGGGGGACAGGTGACCCCCATCTACTGAGCCCCTAAGTGCAAGGATTCTGCAAGTTCTTTATACCAGTGATCCACCTCAAAAGGAAAAGACAAGGCACTAAAGTACTGGACAGTAAAATAAAAATAAAAAATAAACCATCCCATTGGTCGTGCTGTGGTGGGTTGATTGCTACTGTGAGGCAGGAGGCTGTGTCCCCAGGACTCCAAAGAGCAGCAAAATGACCTTGCAGACAGGCTTCAGGGGAGCCTCCACTCTGACAAATACTGAGGAGACCGTTACAACAATCTGCTCGCACCAGTTAGCCAGTGAAGACTTTGAAGATCACAACAGAGATTGTTCACCTTGCTTGCTCTGGACATGGCATGAAGACACGAGGAGGACATCACACTTGGTGAACTAGAGGTCAGGCCAGTGAGGGGGAGCAAGACCTTTGTGGAGGTGAATTCTAACAGGAGCTGAGGCATGGACGCAATACGATGGCCATTGTGAGCAGTGTTTTACATTGTCCTGCGTAAGCACTCTGTGAATGAACTCCATGGCAGCTCATGACGACAGAGGTGATGTAGACAGAGCCTAAGCCTAGAGGGTTAAGGAGTTTCTCAAAGGGCCAGCTGGCACGTGGCAAAAGGACAGATATCCATCTCCCTGAGGTAAGTCTGTGATTGGATGATTTCTCAAGGATGAGAAACCTTTACTTCACAGACTCTAGGCCTGTTGTTAAGAGCAGCCAGTCATTGGAAAAAGACATCATGCTTAGAAAGGTCAGCAAAAGAGAAGACAACTCCAAAAGAGATGGGCTAACACAGCGAATGAAACAATGGTCTCGAACGTGGCCAATTGGAGGATGGCACAGGATAGGGTAAGGTTCTGGTACTGTTCGTGGGGTTGTGAAGAGGTACCATCAACTGCATGGCACCTGACAGCCATGACCACATTACCCTCAAGCTGGTCTGAGGTGGGCAGTCTCCTCCTGTCACAGCCTTGAGCTATGCATGTCAGTCTAACCTGACTGCAATGAGTTTGAGTTTGATTATCAGTGTTTGTTGTTCTTTTTAAGTGAGATCATAAAAAAAATATTAATGACTCTCACCAGTTGAACTATTTCATATTCAAAAGTGCTAAACGATTATGTAATCTGGGATCACTTCCTGATGTGTTAATGGTTAGCTGAGTTAGAAAGGCCATAAAAGAATTAAGAGGGTTTTTGCTCCTGACAAATGATTTCTTACTCCATTAAAATGTAAAGAAGCTTAAAGGTACTTTGTTGGTGGAAGAAGAAGTGTCAGATAAGAATTTTGCTTAAGATAAAAGAAGGATGTCAGAAATTGCCTTTTCCTATAATGTGTCTTTAATGGATTGGCATTTGAATAGTAATGTCATGTGCTGTATTCCACTCATGTACTCATGGTGTTTCAAAAGTGAGTGCCAACAAGTAGACCAAGAGAGAAAAATAAAAGAAAGTATGGCCACTCTGGCTGTCTCCTCCTGTGTCATTAATTGTCTCTGAAAATTCACTGGAGGGTCAACTATGGATTGGTTCCAACTCGATGGCACACAATGACAACAACATCTCTTTTTTCTTTTTGAATTGTCGTTACATGAATCCAGCAGGAAGGCTGCACAGTGGGATGGACTTGGTGGGAGGGATTGTATATAACAATGAAAGACTTTTACTTTTCAAAGAGAAGAATAAACTGGAGGGGAGGGGTGGGCAGAGAGAAGAGTCCAACAATGAATAAATGGAAATCCAAAATCTTTGTAAATTGTCATTAAAATGAATAATAATAATAAAAATTTTTTAAAAACCAATCTCTTTTGAGATAGTAATTCCATGGACTATGTCCTAGTCATGTCATCGTTGCTGTTCATTTTCCTTTTGGGCTGACACAGTGACTGCAGCAATGGGCCCGAGGGTGTCAGGGATGGTGAGGGGTAGCAGAGGACAGGACAGGATTCAGATCTGTTATTCACTTGGTCACTATGAGTTGTACTCAACTCGATGGCACCTAACAGCGATTACAGTGCTGTTACGTCAGAACCGACTCCTAGCTGACCCTCCAGCATTTTCAGAGGCAGTAAATTACACCAGAGGAGATTACCCCTCTTTTCTCCTGGGGAGCAGCTGGTAGATTTGAACTGCTTGCCTTTGCATTGGCAGCACAACTTTCTACCACTAAGCCACTAGAGCTCATGTAAACATGGTGCTGCCAAGGTAGCCAGAAAGTGAATAGAAATGAACAAAAATGATAATATGGCCAGTATTTGGTGGACTAAGCAGGTGAGTCTTCAGGAGTCTGGTGGCGTAGCCTCTAGTGAATACACCGCAAACCCAAAGGCTGGGTGTCTCCCATGGTTCGACTCCACCAGCAGCTCTCCCGGAGGAAGGTGAGCAGTCTCCCCCCGTTACTGTTTTCAGGCTGAGAAACTCGGTGGAGGGTTGCTGTGAGTTACAAGAATCTGAACGTCAGTAAGTCTGTCGGACTTAAAGAAGTACTGAAATATATTTGCAAGCTGAAAACTTTATTCCTGGAAAAGCAGCATCATTAAGAGAAACCTTGAGGCTTGGTCCACTGTCATCATCATCCCCAAACACCTCCCAGCCCTTCGAGGTCTCTGCAGAGGGACCCAGAGGCGTGCTGGTTTCGAGAATCGCCGCTGACCAGCCACCAGGGGACTGGGCCATCCGCCATTCCCAGGTCACTCAGCCAAGTGGACTGTCTCTGTGTCAGCAGAATCGCCACGTTCTGCAGCCCAGCCATCCCAAATGTGTGGATACACAGCTAAGCCACGCCCGGCCGCTTTAACTGGAAATTAAAGCCAGAAAAATTTTAGGGTGCTTCTGCTACGATGAATGTATACGTTTTCTTGAGTTACTATAACAAATTACCACAAACTGAGTTGACTTAAAATAGGCTTTCATTCTCTCACTTCTGGATTCTGGAAGTCTGAATTCGATGTGTGGGCAGTATAGAGGTGGGATGTTTTTATTTGCTGTTGTTTTAATGAAAAAAGAACATTTCAGCAGTAACATTAGCAAATGTGTTTATTCTTGTGAGAGGCATGTGATGTATGTAGGTCACCTCTTCCAGTTTTGACTATCATTTCAGGGAAATGACATTTAGGATCAAGCACGTATAAAACAATCAGTAATTAATATATAGGTATATCGTTAGGTGTAGCTAGATAACATCAAATCGACAACAACTCACAGCAACTCTGTGAACAGCAGGTTGTAATCTTGGCTTGTCCTGTGTCATTGTCAGAATCTCTGCCCTGTGCAAGTGCATGGCTGCAGTTTCTCTGTCAATCCATCTCATTAAGGGTCTTCCTCTCTTGCAACAACCCTCTGCTTTTCCCGGCGTGATGTCTTTTTCCTCCTGACAACATTTCCAAAGTTTGTGAGGTGAAGTTTCACCATCCTTGCCACTATGGACAAGCCTGATTGCGTTTCTACCAAAATGTACTTGTTTGCTCTTTAGGCATTCCGTGGGATATTCAGTACTCATCTCCAATATTCAAAGGCACAGGGACCCCTTACCCAGCCCTAGGCCATTCTCACACTCGGCTCTATGCTCTGGCCCATTGTGACTGCCACTGTACCAGGCATTGTAATTACTGCTATGTAATCAGGAGACGTACATCAGAGAGCATGCCAGTTCAGCTCCAAACCACGACAATAAAGAGATTATGACAATAAACCAAATGTTTTGTTTCCCAGTGCACAGAAAGTTACATTGACATTAGGCTGTAGACTATTGTATGGACAATAGCTTGTTGAAGGTTAGAAATACTGTGAGAATTCCTAGAATGTGACAGTCAGACACAAAATGAGCACGTGCTGTTGGAAAATTGGTACTAGTCCATGTGCTCAATGCAGGGTCGCCCCAAAGTTTGAACTCATGAAAGGCCAAGCCCAATAAAGCACAGCATAGCCAGGGGAGCCTGCCTACACACTCATGCATGGAAGTCCACGGCTTTGGGGATGTAGTAGGTTGTGTACTAGGCTGCTAACCAAACAAGATTGGCAGTTCAAACCCACCAATGGCACTGCAAGAGGAAGAAGAATCTGTTAAGAATGACCGCCTGACAGTCCCAGAGGAAGGTTGTTGCCTCAGTTGGAATTTGACAGTGGTCTGTTTATTTGCTTCTTGTTTTCATGTAACACTGTTAATTTTCATGTAAATCAACCAGATTTCTCCTAAAAAAAGAAAAAAATCAGACTAAGGAAGATGTAAATCAACCAGATTTCTCCTAAAAAAAAAAATCAGACTAAGGCAGATAATCATTCCCATGAATGAATTCCTGAATATACCAAAAATTAAGTCTACACATCCCAGAAGTCTCTTGTTTGCAATGCCTTCTTATTTCTCTTCCCTATTATGTAGTGTCTCACACAGACATACATTATATGTTATATCATGTAGCTCCTAGGGAGAAGTGTTCAAAAAACAGAAAACTATTTTCTTTTGTTCTGTTCTTTAGGATCTGTTAAGCTGTTTATAAACACAACTCTCTCTCTCTCTCTCTTTCTGCCTAGGGATGCATCTGTAAAGACAAAGGCCAGTGCTTCTGCAGTGGAGTCAAAGGGGCGAAGGTAAAAAAAAATAACAAAAAATCACTGTTTGTACTATTTCTTTTCACTTTGCAAGCAATGCATGTTATTTTTTATTAGTAGTGGGGAAAATAGACAGCATGCTGTTCCAGTGCCCAGTCAGAGTTGTAAATAATTATTTGTAAGCCTTGGAATCGCTGGGGCATGTAATAATTTAAATGTGCAGCTGCTAACCAAAGTGCCTAGGAATAAAGACCTGGCAATCTACTCCCTCAAACACCAGCCATTGAAATCTCTGTGGGGCGCAGTTCCACTCTGACACACACGGGGCTTGCCACGAGTTGTACTGGACTCAGTGGTAGCTGGTAATTGGCTATAAACATTAACCTTAAAAAAGAGGTGTCTTGCAGGAAACTTCAGATAACTTGTTTAAATAATGGCAGTTAAATTATAACTGTTGCTTTATGGAGAGTAAGTTAGCAAAAATGAGGGCTTATGAGAACTGCCTGCATGCGTATATACACCCTTGATGATGTTGCCAAACACGACAGTGCAGCTGAGAACAACTTGATTCGCTCACTAGGGCAGAAAATAAACACTGGCACCCAGAGTCTCTGCTCTGCAGCACTGGTCCGAGTCTGCCCCCTGGTGGAAACCCATCCTAGCCGACGCCACAGGAGGCAGCTCCATCTCGGAATTTAGGAAGAGAAGGAATGTTTTGAATTCTCATTAATTCGCTCCATTAATTTGCAATTTGTGATCATTAAGGCAGAGGCTAGACAAAAAAGTTTCTTTCTTTGTTGACTGAATTCTTTCCTCAGAGACACTAATTAATTATTTAACAATGTTGAAAGGGGGGCTACTAAAGATATTTTATAAAGAATACGTTTTAAGCTCTAAGGAAAATAAATTCCATATAACTGAAATGCTCATTATAAAATTGTCATTATTTTTATTTGTTAATGTCCTGTGGCTTTTGGGCAACTGGATGCAGGTTTTCGTGTGCAACTATGGGATGATGGAATATAACTCAGATCCGAATTGGACTGTTCTAACGCTTTTGTGACTCACACCTGCATTCAGAACGCATCACTGAATTGCTGCTGTTTGTATGGTGCTGTGTGTGCTAGGAAGGTGACTGAGCGCTAGTGAAGGAGGTAGAGCTGGTTCTTTTTATTTTATACTCATCTGTTCCCTTGCAAATGTGAATGCTAACGACATGCACACGCACACACACACATTGCCAAAAAGAGACTCTTGATATTTCCCCTTCCCTTATTATTATTGCACTTGCTAATTGTATAACTAAATTGACTGAGTCAACCAGGGATGTTTACTGCTCGTATCAAGGCCTGAGATGTAAGGATTGTTATTTGACCAAAGCATTTATCACATTATGGCAATCACTCACCCTTGCTAGGGATTTTCCTATCCCATCTGATTCCTTGTTGGAGGAGAGGATTAGAAGATGGAAGGAAGGAAAGATGAAAATGAGAATCACAGGGAAGAAATGAGAGGAGTGCTGTTATGATGTGGGCACTGTCATTAATGCTATAAAACAAAATTGGTATAAATAATGGAAAACAAATCACTCCATAGACTGTAACTAAAAGCACAGTGAAAAAAAAATGTATGCAGTATCTTACAACTCAACTTTACCTACTACATTATATTAGAACTCAACTATACCACATTATCTTACAACTCAAGTATACCACACTATCTTACAACTCAGCTATACCCCACTATCTTGCAACTCAACTATGTCATATTATCTTACGACTCAACTATACCATATTATCTTACAGCTCAACTATACCATCACCCAGTTTTAGAACTGTTACCAAATGTCCCAGCCACTGAATTTTTCTAAGTTCTTTCTAAACGTTATCTGCATGTCAGTCACTGAGGTTTTTTGGTAAGTCTCCTGGTGTTCGCTTTTAGAAAATCTCTGAACTGTCTCCTTACGTCACTTGGTTCCATATCCTCTGGAGAGATTATCATTTTTAAAATTATCTTTCCTCCCAATAAATGCTCTTAACTTTACATTTTTAATTGAAAATTTTTAAAAATATATCTCCTTTACACTTCTTTTCATTATACCGTCTTTTCCTCTCTGTTGTATCTTCTACGTGAACACACATTCCAGTGACAACAAAAAAATGATTTAAATTAAAAACGTGCTCATTGGCTTTTATTTTTTTCAAAGTTACATCACAGTCATGCCTACACCCCAAACACAACCTTTCACGCTACCCTTGACCTACCAATCAGCCTACCCTCTGCTCACCTGGATTTTTAAAAATTGTGATTTAAGTGAAAATTTACAAAGTAAAATGACTTTCCATTCAAATATTCGCATACATTTGCTTTATAATATTAATTACAGTGTCCGCAATGCAAATCTCTCTCTTCCCACTCTCATCTTATGATTCTAGTTTTCATTAATCTTTCTATCCCACTCCTGGCCTTCTGGGTTTTATCCTTAGACAAGTACTGCCCTACGGGCCTGATATGGTTGGTTTTTGAAGGAGTGACTACCTCACTGGTGTTACTGGTTCCTTTATCAACCTGTCCATTGTTTGACTGAAAGTAGAGCCCCGGGTGAGTTTTACTTCAGGTTTATGGGATGGCATAGGGCTATAGACTTAGTGGTCCCACCAGTCGCTATTGGACCATGAAGTCAGATCATTTTTGTGTGTTTTCATTTTGTTGGACGTTTTCTGTCACTCTGTCCAGGAACGGTGACCCCGTTTGGTGTGGTCAGCAGTGGTGGCTGGGCACCATCTATCTCCTCTGGTTTCTGAGTCACAGAAGCCAGAGCCTCAACTCCTAAGTGTGTGTTTCCATCAGGTCTCCACTCTCTTCTCCTTAATCTCTGCTTTGGGAGGCTTTGTCACTTAGGGGAAGAAAAGTAAAGGTACTAAAACAAAAGTAGGCACATATTGGCAGTACCTCATTGCCTGCTACTGTCTCTCTTGAGTGCTAATCTCCCCCCAAGAGAAAAAAATAAGCGAACTTTCAAATCTTAAAGAAAAGAAATCACGATGACTCCACTGGTTGTTGGGTTGTTGCTGTTCTTGTCTTGTTTTGCTTTTCACAGGGGGAGAGAGGATTCCCCGGACCCCCTGGTGCTCCGGGCCAGAAAGGATTCCCAGGGCCTGAGGGCTTGCCTGGACCACAGGGACCCAAGGTAAGGCAGCCTGTAATTTGACAAATCTCCACCAACTGACCCTTCTCTGTATGTCTCACCGTAGAGCTCAAGCCACCCCTCTATCTGCATAATGGTTTGTGCTTGACTACTGATCTAAAGGTTAGTGGTTCAAATCCATCGAGTGTCCTCATGAAAGACAAGACCAATGATCTGTTTCCATAAATATTACAGCCAAGAAGGCCGTATAGAAGTTAGTTCTGTCATGTAGCATGGAAATGCCATGAGACAAAATCAAGGTCTGGTTCACTGATGAAATGGGGAGTAATTCTATATACTAGCCAATGAGTATTTTGCTTCATATGCATCTGAAAGTTGGACAGTGAATAAGAATGACTAGAGATGAATTGTGGTGTTGACCAAGAGTGCTGACTATCCCACGGACTGCCAAAAGAACAAACAAACCTATCTTGGCAGAAGTATAACCAGATGTATTTAGAGGCAAGGACGGTTTAATACCATCTCACCTCTTTTAAGCATATTGTCAGGAAGGACCAATCCTTGAGAAAAAAGACATCAGACTGGGAAAGGTGGAAGGTCACAGAAAAAGGAGAAAACCTTCAACGAGATGGTTGGTTTGATGTGGTGACTACAGCAGTGGGCTTGAACATGATGGAGATTTTGAACATGATGCGGGATAGGACCAGGTTTTCATCTTTTGTACAAAGTCGCTGTGAGTCTTTGTTAACTTGACAGCACCTGATAACCACTAGTGGAGATACTAATGGTCTCGGGTCTCAGCCAGGCCCTCAGAACTGCATCCTAGTAGGGAACTCTCCTCAGCCATCATCACTATCTTCAAGCTTCCTTCTCAGCATCCTTCCAGATATTTGTGGTTTTGTTGTTATGTGCCATCGAGTCGCTTGTGACTCATAGTGACCCTGTGTACAAGAGCTCTAAATGCTGCTCTATCCTGTGCCAACCTTGCCGTCCGTCTCAAGCACACTCATTCCCACCACTCCACTCACAGAATCGATCCGTCTGCGTCTACTCATTTCTTTCTTTCCCACTGAAAGGGTGGGATCTTGTGCCATTCATTCAGGATCTCCCGTGGGATTCCCACAAGGACCGTGGGCCTTGAAGTCTCACAGGGCATTCTGATTTGCCTTTGGATGCTGGCTGGCTTTCCTCTTTCAGTCCTTAATTATGTGAATTTTTCACACATGCTAGGAAACTTCCTCTTGATCCTCCGGGTCCTAGCGCCCCTGGATCACCATCTGTCAGACGATAGTTACTCTCACACCAAGAAGAACCCAACCTCCTGCTGTTGAGTTGATCCTGACTCAGAGTGATCCCTGGTGTTACAGAGCTTACTCACTCTATGGGATTTTCTTGGCTGTAATATTTCTACAACCAAATGCCTCGGCTTCCGAGGAGTAACTGGGTGAGTTCAACTCCTGAACCTTTAGGTTCTTAACCCAGTTCACTCCTTGGCCAGCTGTGCTCTGCCTCCTGCTCCACCCAGTCCCACACCGAAACAAAAACCAAGCCCATTGCTGCCGAGTCGATTCCGACTCACAGCTCCCCAAGGCTCCTGAGGCTGTAGCCTTTGTGGAAGCCGACTTCTAGCTCTTTCTCCCATCAAGCAGCTGATAGCTGCTCACTTCTGACCTCTTCATTAGTAGCTAAATATGCCTTTAACCACTGCACCATCAGGACTCTGTCCCCTCATTCCCACCCTCCAAGTTGGCCCAAAGATTGCCGGTGATGTCCAGGTGGCCAATGTTCATGGATACTCCTCAGTCTTTAAGTGACCTGGACTCGCTTGATTTCAGGCCAAGGACCACTCTCTTCTTCTTCTTCCTGGAATCCTCCTCTCCCTAATGCTCTTCTAGTCTCTCAGCCTTCCTTCCCCAGGGTCACCTTTCTCAATTGTGCTCTGAACATTGGGGCAAACAAGCAGGGCCAGATAACGCAGTACGCAGGATAAGCAGGCTTACCTGTGCTCATTTCCTTACTAATCTGTAATGAACAGTTTCACAAATGTCTGGGAAACTACAGATTAGTAAGTACGCAACAGTAAGCCCATGCTTGCTTACTAGGTTTTCCTTTTCTATAAGGGACTGACAATGAAGATACCATTTGGTTAGGAGGGAGACAGACGCCCTCAGGACCTAGAAGGAGAATGTTTAATGTGACAAGAAAATGTGAAATGGTTCACTACAGGTTAGCAGGCAGTGGCCAGTCAGCCTCCCTTACCTCTCTTGTTGGATATTCAGCCCCTGCTGCCCACATTCTGTTCAGGACCGACTGTTCTCCTCATTTCTCATACATCTTTATTTATTCACATCTGTGAGACCAAAGGCTTTGTTCAGACGAACACCCTGGAGGGTGTACTAATACTAACGGTACAGCCAGAGGATAGCTGACCGTTCTTTCCCAAGGGAATCCCTTCCGCGGTACTGGCATTCACCAGATTATTCATTCTCCACACTGCTGGCCTCCAGAGAGTCAGGGAGCTCCAAGACACCCGAAAGATGATTACAGCTGCTCTTTGCAGACTGTTTCTGTAAAGTTCAAGCATAATATTTGAGTCTCTGGGTCTCTGGTGGCCAAACCTGTCGAGAGCTTAGCTGTTAACCCAAAGGTGGCATCTCTCTGGAGATTTGGAGCCTCCAGTGGCTTTGATGGTCAATGTCTTGTGCAATCTGCAACCTTGGGAACCCAACGGAGAGTCAGCTGTAAGTTGTTCTGACTCAGTACGTGACAGTATATATTGGAAGAATGTCTATAATCTTTAAATAATAGTAATAGCCAACATTTTCTGCATCTTTTCCTATACCGGGGATGTTGTTGTGTACCGTAGGGTTGAAACCAACACTCTGGCAGGTTTTCAGGGGCAGTTAATGGCACAAGAGGAGATTGTCCATCCTTCTCCTATGGAGCAGCCGATGGCCTTGAACCATGTACCTTCGGGATTGCATGTATTCCTCACACTCTCTCATTGAAAAAACCAACTTTATTGCATTGAGTAGAACTGATGGTCAGCACCAACCTGTGAGTTTGTGGTTTGACCCTAACCAGTGATGCTGTGGAAAAAAGACGTGGTGATCTCCTTCTATAAAGATTCTAGACAAAAAACAAACAAACAAAAAACCCGAACATAGCAATCTATGCTGTGAGCTAGGGTCGATTGATTCGACTTGAGGACTTGCTCTGGATTGGATTTTGCATGTGGATGCAGATGCTCAAAGTCTCCAAGTGGAACAGAAGATTCTTCTGTAAACGGCCAAGCTTGTTCCCTGAGAGTGCTGCTTTGGTAGGGATGGGCAAATCAGGAACTGGCCGTCTAAAAGTGGGATATTAGAGCAGAAGACATGAGGTAGTTGGCTTATACACTTTCATGAAGGAAGTTATCAGTAAGATAATTGAGCAAGGTGGAAGCAACTTATACGAAATATAATGTAAATTAAACTAATTCTGTAAATAAATTAACATTTAAGAAACCAACCAAACTCACTGCTGTCAAGTCAGTGGAGACTCATTGCAGCCCTGTGGGATGAAGCAGAATTGCCCACGGCTTCCTGAGGCTGTAAATGTTGATGGAAGCAGCCTGCCCACTCTTCCTCCTGCAGCTTGTGGGCTCAGCCTTCTCGCTAGCAGTCAGGTGTCTCACCCATTGCCCCATTTGGCTCCTTTCTGTAAAGATTGTTGTTGTTGTTGTTGTGTGCTGTTGAGTTGGAACTAATCCATAGCTGACCCTCCGGTGGACTTTCAGAGGCGGTAAATCATATAGTTAACCAGTATCGCATTTGACACATCAATGTCACAGAGTTTAGCATCACAGCAACCACGAGTTACCTCTGTAGTGCAAATGGACAGACCAGGGCTATACCACTTAGAATAATTGTTGGCAAAAAAACAATTAAAACTAGTCCTAAGGGCCGCAGATTAAAATCACCCACCTTTGGCTTGGTAGCATAACTTTCTATCCAGGAGGCCAACAGAGATCTCTCTATGTTGTTGTTTTCATTAAGTACCATCGAGTTGTAGACAACTCATCCTTTCTTCAAGTTCATAAGAGTTTCTGGAGGCAAGCTATTTCAGAAGTGGATGCCACTCCTGCTTCCAAGTTTGTCTTAATTGGGGAGCACCACCAAACACTGTCCACCACAACGAAAGTTATACAAGTGTTCAGGTGTTTCATTCATGGGGTCACGATAAGTTGTCTACAACTTGATGGCACTTAAGAACAACAAATCCTATAGGAGATTTCTCATCTTTATCCCATGGAGCAACTGATGGATTTGAACCATGTGCCTTTGAGATTGCAGGGCAGCTTCTTACTTCTAGGCCACCAGAGCTCCCTCTGTAAAGATTGGAGCCAAGCAAACTCTGTGAAGCAGTTCCAGGCTGCAACATGGGCTGCTTTCAGTAGGAATAGATTAGATGGTGGTGAGTCGAGTATCTCATTGGCTGTTCATATTGACCCCATACATCAAATGCTGGTAACTCCTAACTTAGTTCTCAGAAGTATTTCTGTTTTATGAGTGCAGAGACACTATATTTTGTCCTGGTTCTCACAGCTAGTAGGTGGCAAGGCCAGAGTCCAGCTTGGCTTTCTACAACTTCAGAATCAGACCGCTACCACCAGAGAAGCTAAAGTCACACGTACAATTTAGAATCAAAGACATAAATGCTTACTCTCTCCCAGGAGCCCTGCCAATTCCATTTCTGTCCTGCTCACGTGTGCACTCTCTATTCCCTGTCTGCTTCCTCTGATCCCAGTTCTGGAAAAGTCTCTCAGATTCCTTGGTTTTTCCTCCATTTCACCATAGGAGCTCCTGGTAACATAAGGTTAAGGTCTAGACTGCTAATAAAAAAAAATCCAGGTCCACTGTGAAGCCTGGATTCCTGCTTCCAAAATGTCAGAGCCATGGAAATTTTCTGACATACTATCCACCCTGTCACACGTACTTACAAAGACCCAGCATTGATTCAGTGGCAATCAACCAATGGTTTTTCACTGGTAGAATAGGTTGGCCCTTTCAGTCTTGGACTTGATGAAGCCTCATACTAGTGCCTTCTTTTTTTTTTCCTGGCTATCAGCATTTCACTTTGGTCCTCTGCTTCCAGCATTCGTATCTCCAGAGGTGTCAGCTATTCCTTTTAAAAAGAGCCACAGATTCATAGATGTCAGTATTGGCTATGTGATGCACCAAACCTGAAAAACCAAACACACCAGGACCCTCCCCTGGGTGTCTGAGGCTGTAAATCTTTGCTGGAAGACATTGAGTATCTGTGTCCCTTGGTGGATTTGAACCACTGATAATTCAGTTAGCAACGCAGTACCAGGTTTCCTTTATGATGCATAGTGTCCCATAAAAGGAACCCTGGGTTTCCTCTGCGCCATGTCATCAGGGGTTAATGGGGGAAGGCAAAGCTTTCAGGCATAACCACAGATACAGCCAGGGCCAAGGCAGACAACAGGAGATTGTTCAAACCTGATGGAAAAGATTCTTACGATTTAAGGATTTTTTTAAAGTGGTTTAATTCATCCTTTTTATTTTTGTGCATTTCTGGTATCATAACATCAAAACCAATATTTGTGTCAATACAGCTTTTTTTTATTAATTTCAATGAGCATTTACAGAGATTTTGGATTTCCATTCATTCAGATTTAAGGATTTTTAAAGAAACCATACCTGCCACCCAAGCAGATATATGCACACCCATGTTTATTGCAGCTTTGTTCACAATAGCAAAGAGTTGGAAACAACCCAAGTGCCCATAAACAAGCGAATGGGTAGAGAAGCTCTGGTATATTCACACAATGGAATACTATCCAGCATTGAAAAACAAGGAACTCATGATATATTATGCAAAATGGATAACCCTGGAGGACATTATGCTGAGTGAAATATCTCAGTCACAAAAGATCAACTATTGCATAGGGCCACTGTTGTAAAATGGGACTGACATCGAGGTTGAGGGAAGACAGAATAGGAGGGGAGGAATGATGAATATGCATTGAAACAGATGAGGGAGAGAACTCTTTAAAAGGAACATATGAATGGGCATTCTTGTCATGACAGAAGTCCAGATCAAAGGCTGCATAGTGGAGTGGACTTGGCAGGAGGGATTACACAACAATACAAGTTTTTCTTTTCAAAGAGAAGAATGAATTGGGGAAGGAGAGGTGGGCAGGGAAAAAAGTGCAATAATGAATAACTGGAAATCTTAAGTCTCTGTAAACTTTCATTAAAATTAGTAAAAAAGAAAAATTACATTAAAAAAACTTCAGAACTGGAAAATAATATTTAAGGATTTCCTCCCCCTCATATGAAATTCTTTCTGCATGAGGCCATTTAAATGGAGGGGGGGAGTCGCAAGTCCCTCTTCTGTGCCTATCTGAGGGACACAGACAGCGTCCACGCAAAACGACACCAGCTGGTGAGCCAGCCACCTCCCAGTGATTCCACCGCCCTCAGGAATCGCTGACTTTGGCCTTGGCAGTCTAATCTCAGAAGACTCTGTAACAATCCTTTCTCTATCAAAACCCCCCAAAACATAGTGAACCTCTTTGGAATGATAAAAAAAAAAAGGCAGCTTTTGGGAAATGAAAGCCTTACACCAACTGACCTAGGGTATATCATCTCCATTTATGGTTATTCTGCTAAAAACAAGGTCTCAGACCTGAACTCTCACTGGAAGCCAGCATCTCTGGCTCAAGCAGCCTTTACTTGGCTGTTGTACGTAGCGGGTGCGGTTGGTTAATAAGGTGCTTCTTGTGCAGAGAAGCACTGGCTGCTCCTCTTGTCTGACTCATCTCGTCTCTTAAGTCTCGACGTTTATCCTCATCGGACCTCAGCAGCCACCTGGCTAACGTGGCGCTTTCTCATTAGACTTTAGCATGCACCAAGAGTCCCCCTAGATCTTGTTAAGGTACAAAATCTGAGTGGTTGAGAGCTGGAGTTAAGAGAGGCCCAGAGAGTTTACATTTCTGCCCAACTCCCAGGCGATGCTGATTTGCAGGTCCTGAGACCCCACTGTGAGTAGCAAGTGCTTGAGTGAATTTTTGTTTGTCCTTTCTGATGGTGGTTTTTAACTTCAATGAAATGAGTAAGAGGTTGAACCATTATTAACAATTGAGTAATCGCCAGGACCAGATAGTTTGGCCTTATGGGTATGACAGGGACCTTTTATATATTAATTTCTTCACATCACATTGCCAGGTGGGGCCACTTGTTTGTGATAAGCTGTTAACCTAAAGGTTGGAGATTCAAACTCACCCAGAGACACAGCAGAAGAAAGGCCTGGCAGTACACAATCACAAAGATAGAAGCCAGAAAGACTCAGTGGAACATAATTCTATCCTGTCACACGAGAGGTCTTCATGAATCAGAATCATGTTTTAGAGGAGGAAAGGCGTTTAGAGCAAAGTAATTGTCATAATGTTTACTTTTCCATTTTTTGTTTCATCCAGGGTTCTCCAGGGCTCCACGGACTCGACGGCCCCAAAGGCATCAGGGTGAGCAGTCTGACCAGATCATTCTGAGTGCTGATGGAAATTCTGCTCCTCTGAACAATAACGCTGCTTCGCAATGGTCAGAGGAATTCGCTGTGTCTGACTCTTTATGCGAAGCCCGGGGAAACCTCTGTATCATAATAGAAGTCAGTGCAGTGGCTGCTGGGTTGTAGTGGGTCTTGGTTGGCTGGAGAAGGTATAAGAGGCTTTTGGAGGATGATGGGGACACTAGGTGGGTGGAAATCTCCAGGTACAAACAGCCACCCAGTGGCCATTGGAGATCAAGAACATCACTGTGTGCAAATTGGGTCTCAGACGCCTGGCTCTAAAAGCCAAAAGCGATTGCAATTCTCCTTCTAAAAGTTAGTTAAGATTTATAATAGTTTGCCAAACTTGTTTTATTTCATAAATATTTTTTAGCCAGGTCCAGCTAAGTTGTAGTAAGCGGAGGACCTCGGAATGGTGAATAATTTTGTGCTTAAATGTTGAATACTTAACAAGTGCTTTTTTCCTCATCCTTTGTACACTCCATTTTCAGGGAATTACTGGCTTGCCAGGGTTTTCAGGCCCTCCCGGACTTCCAGTAAGTAGTGAGGGGAAAAGAGCATAAGCCCCACAGTAATAATAGAGAAACTGAAACAACAGCACAGGGGATGTGGCTGGACATTTTATATACAGTACAAACAAACAGCAGAGTGGAATCAGATCATATATTAGAGTGTGGGGGAGGTTTACATATTAATAGATCGTATATTAGCGTTGTCATATTTCCTAAAATAAAAACACAATGGAATGGTGTATCAGGGAGCAGCCTAGGATAGAAATAGTCTGTTTAATAGTGTAAGAGAATAAAGTAGCTTTGTAACCTTCCTTTTTCTTCCCTGCACCCTCTCCCACTCCATTTCCTCCAACTTTAAATTGTCTTTTAAGAGACTACAGTCTAAAAAAATCGAGAGAGCAAGAGAGAGACTACAGTCTATCCTCCAGTTGCTCTCTGGGCGAAGGATGAACACTCTTCTCCCTTGTGAATTACTGTCTCTGCAAACTCAATGGAGGACCGGCAGTGGGTCAGTTCTAACTCGATAGCCAACAACAACAGAAATCTGTTTAGAAAAGCCATTTGTTTTAGCTCACAAAGCCGTATCATCAACCATCCATACATGATCAAAAGGGCAGAAGTTGCCTTGGTGTAAAGTTCAGAAAACAGGAAGAGAGAAGGAAGAAGCGCAAATGGACAGAAGTAGCACAAGGAGGAAGTGGGACGAATGGGTTGGAACTGTGGCAGTTACAGTCAGTGTCACAAATCAAAGTGTGCCTGAGTTGTTGAGTGAAAAATCAATTTTCTCTGTAAACTGTCACCAAATTATAACAGTACATTTCATACATGCAGATCTATTGTAATCAGCCTCAGTCTTTGACATTTATTGTCTTTTTCAGGGCACCCCAGGGCATCCTGGGCCTTATGGGCTTCCTGGTTTGCCTGGCTGCAATGGTTCCAAGGTATGTACTTCTCTCACTGTGGATGAGTGATCAGTGTTGTGCTGAAGAAAGAAATAAGGCTAGGGGACAGTGCAGTGCAGGTGCGCTTTCCTGGAAACGTCCTGTAGCCAGAGCCAGTGATGCCTGTTTTCAGGCAAAAAAAGAGGATTTTTTTTAACTAGGAACATTCCTGTTTTCTTTTTCCTTCTCCCGTGCTGACTGTCTCTTAAGGGGCTCAACTGGTTGTTTTCATTTGACGTTATAAGAACAGGCATAGCTTGCGTCATTCTGCTCTAGTTTATTGCATTCACACATATTTTTTTAATTTTTTAAGTTTTCTACTAGTTTATTTACACAATTCAAATACAAATTTGAACAAATTCTTTCAATTTCCCTTACTCCTCCACCCATCAAATTGTACAACCCAATGATTAATCCCCCCTCCCCCTGCACATCCACATCCCTCTGCTTCCAGCCTCTCCCACCCCTCCTGGATCCTTATACTCATTTTACAATAATGGTTTTATACAATATTTATCCTTGTGGAACTGAGTTAGTTCACTCAGCATCATGCTCTCCTCGCACATATATTTTTGGAGGGTTTTGGGTTTGTTTGGTTTTTTTTTTTTACAAATTAAAAGCTTCTGGCCGCTGTGCCATGAACAAGACTCAGGGCACCATTTTTCCAACAGCATGTTCTCGTTCATGTCTCTGTGTCACAACTGTGGTAATTTCCATGATAGTTCAAATGGTTTCATAATGCTACTGTGCACTTGATAGATTACACTATAGCACAAACTCAGCTCATAGCCACTGAGTTGGAACTGATTCCTAGCTGACCCTTCAACAGGTTTTCAGAGACATTAAATCACATGGGAGGAAATGGCCCATCTTGTCCCCAGGGAGCTCTTGGAGAAAGTGCAGCCAGAGTGCTGCTTGGAGGCAAAGATGACCAGGCTTCGTCCCGTATACTCTGGGCATGTTGCTAGGAGAGGCTATTCCTTGGAGAGGGGCATCATGCTTGGGAAAGTGAGGGTCAGAGAGGAAGACCCTCAACCGAAGAAATTGACACAGGGACTGACTGCTTGCTGCAGTGGGCTCGAATGTATCAGAAAGTGTGAGGAAGACGCAGGATAGAACAGGGTATCTAGATAGTTATTTATATGATCGCCATGGGCTGCACTCAACTCAGCAGAACCTAACAACCAACAGGCCCCATGGAACAGCTGGTGGACTCGTCATGTGCTTTCAGTTGGCACCTCGGCTCCTAGTCACCAGTGCCACCAGAGCACTGGAAACAAAAAATGCCAGTGATGGGCTTCCTTGTAGTTCTTGAGAACTCAACCTGCAGTAACTCCAAGGTCTGACCAGATAGACATTTCAGACATATCTTCTGCTGTGGAGTTGACTCTGACTCGAGACAGCCATCGGTCATGTTGCCGTGGTTGTGTGTTCTCGAAGAAACGATGAGCAGAAGGTCTGACCTTTCTCCTTCAGAGTGACTGATGTGTTCAGTGAGCAGTCCGACACTTGATGTGGTGAAGACATCAGCATTTCTCCTGTCAGACATGAAGCCGACAGGAGAAAACTAGACTTTGAGAAAGTGAGGCCAAGCTTTTCCATGTTCATTCGCCTCTATTTTCTAACTATGTGCTCTTTTTCCCTAGAAGGGCAGCCATGAATGAACTAATTATTCCAGTTGCAAGGCAATAGCAATTAAAAAGTTTTTGACACAATTAGGCTTTCACTGTTTATGTAAAATCAAGCTGCAGAGGATTCTATTTCTGCTTGCAATTAAACTAACGGCTTTAAGCCTCGTGATCCACTCGCCATCAAGGCTTGGATTTATTTCACTCCTTGTATCCCTATAAGTTTGGAGGATGGAAGCAGAGACCAGATCTAAATAGTCTGTTCTCGAACAACTAGAAGAATGACATGCTTTATTTGTCTTCCAGGGTGAGCCAGGTTTTCCAGGACTTCCGGGGACACCAGGCTACCCAGGGATCATGGTGAGTTTCCATTTCTGACGCTCAACTAAAGACACAAAGTATTCTGCTGCAGAATGGAGGCAGACATAAATTCTCATTACTGTGGGAACATGGGGGCAGCCAACAACTGACACAACAGTCGACAATCAACTCATGCTTGGAGAGGAATGAGTTAATGTCTTGTGAGTTTAGGTTTGCAATTTAAGACTTTGTTCTTCTTCTGAGACATCCAAGTGGAGATGTGTGTCAGACAGTTGGATTTTCTCAGAGGAGAATTCTGGAGTAGTGGTGGCTCAAGGAGTGAGGGTAAGGAAAAAAGGTGTCTAGAACTTGAACTTGGAGAACTCCAGCATGCAACACCTAGGTAATGCAGAATGAACCTGCAGAAGATGAGTGGGCCTTCAGGTATAAGGTAAATAGGACTGTGTTGTGGACGCCCAGTAGATGTATTTCGTATAGAAGGAACTTATCTATAGTTGCATAATGCTGGTGAGAAGTTTAGTAAGGTGAGGACTATGATCTGGCAATGGTTTTTAGCACTGTCAAGGGCCTTGCTAAACAGATACTTCTGTGATGTGCTTTGGGGCAGGAGATAGGTTATATACAGGCAGAGAAATGAATGTTGGCTCCATAGAATGAGGCAATTGAAGGTGGAATAAAGGAAACACATAGTACAGTTGTTGTTTTTGTTGTTGTTGTGTACTGTCAAATTGGAGGTGACCCTCCAGTAGGTTTTCAGAAATAATAAATCCCATGGAGGGAGATTGCGGATCTTGTCCAGTGGAGCAGCTGATGGATTCAAACAGCAGTGCCTTTTTTAGCTCATTACCAATAGGCCACCAGAGTCACAGAACGGTATTGTTGTGTATTAGGAGACGGTAGAAGGTGGATGAGCTTCTGGTTGGTTTATTTAAGTGGGTATTAACTATGTACGCTGTAGAGGCAGGACATGTTCAGTGTAGAGAAGATACAGAAAAGGGAAATAAACATAACCCGAACTGGAACCTTAATCCCTAACCCTAAACGAAACCCCATACCTCTAACAGCTGCTATCCTTAACCCCTAACACAAACTCCAAACACGAACTGTAACGCCTAGCCCTAACACTAAAACTAACCCCTAAACCAACTCTAAAACAAACGCCCAACACTAACCGCTAGCCCCTAACCCTAAACCAAGCCCCTAACCTCTAACACTTAACCTTAACCACTAACACAAACTCTGAACCCTAACTGTAGCCCCTAACCCTAACCCTAAAACTAACCCCTAACCCTAACACTTAACCCCTAACACAAACCACAAACCCTAACCATAACCCCTAACCCTAACCCTAAAACTAACCCCTAAACCAACCCTAAAACTAACCCCTAACCCTAACCCCTGACCCTAATGATTAACCCTAACAATAATCCCTAATCCCTAACCCTAACTTAACCCCTAAGTCAAACCCATACCCCTAACCCTAACCACTAACCCCTAACCCTAACACTAACACTAACCCCTAGACCAACCCTAAACCTAACCCTAACCCCTAACCTTTACCCTGATGCCTAACCCTAACCCCTAACCTTTACCCTGATGCCTAACCCTAACCCCTAACCCTTAACCCCAAGTCACACTAACCACTAACCCACAGACCTGTTCTGTTTGCCTCTATTTGTTAATATGTTTCTCCGTTTTCTAGGGTCCTGTTGGTTTGAAAGGAGAAAAGGTAAGACATTTCTACAATATTGTATGAAAACCTCTAGCTCTTGAAGATCTCTCTTAAATTACAAGATTCAAGTAATTATAAATCATATTTCATAATCTAGATCTTAACTAATTCAAAATCCATAATCGTAGGAATAAAGATTTTCATTCCTATGAAACAGCTTTTTCTGGATCTTTGGAGGTTTGAAGATTATAGGTTTCACATCATCCTTTAAAGAAATAGAGAACAAGACACCAGAACTGGTCTCATACTCCAGGGTCCAGGATCTAGGTGTGAAATTGTCACGAATTTTATTATCTTAAGGGATATATTACCCTATATCCTCCCGCAGTAAGTTGGCAACAGTAATTAAAAAAATAGAAAAAGACCTTTAATTCATTATTATGAATATGGCATAAGGCTAAGTAATTTCTCTAAGTATTTGTCTCAAGAAGCACTGCATCCTTCAAGCAGGATGACCTGATTCTGTTTGATGAGCATCTTCCTTTTTCAGGGTGCCCCAGCTCAAGTAAAAGATGTCAAAATGGATGGAAAGGGGGACCCTGGTTTACCAGGAACTCCAGGCTTCCAGGTAAAGCACTCAGAGCTTTTTCTTTTCTCTCTTTTTCTGGTGTTTTGTTTGTTTTTTGGGTTTTTTTTTTCCTGTTCTCTCTCTCTACTCTCTCTTTCTGCCCTCTATTCTTTTCTCACTCTATGAAGAACATTTTCCATAATCTTGTTTATTCTATTTACAAGTCTGTCTCATCGCAATCTGAATGTTCACCTTATTGAAAGAAATTATGAGATGCTGGTAAGAATGATTTCAGGCTTTCCGTTGCATTTTTGCCTTTTTTCACATTTTAACTTGCTTACTAGTGGTATTGGAAGCAGGAATGACATCCACTTCCTAAACAACATGCCTCTGGAAATTCTATGAGCTGTGAGAAACAACGCTAGTTATAGAAAGGCTTCAGGTCTTTTGTTCATAGGGTTGCTATGAGTCATGCTGGACTTGACAGCAATCAACAACAACATCTAGTTTACTTAGTATTATTTAGTTATTCAGCATTGTTTAGCCTGGAGAGCACAGATGGCCTAGTGGCAAGAAGCTGTACTACAATCCTGAAGGTATAGGGTTCGAGACCATCAGCTGCTCTGCGGGAGAAGCCTGAGCAATCACTTCCTGTGCAATTACTGCCTCTGGAAACCCCCTGGACGGTCAGCCATGGGTTGGCTGATAGTACACATCTCAATAATACACAACAACAAGAACAAAACTAGTGTTATTTTTAAATCATTTGAAACTACCCATACCAAGACATTTTATATGTGTGTTCATTTATGCTTGTTATGTGTCTGGATAAATTTATCAAAGTAATGTTAATGCTACTTTCAGCTGGTGAGTTAATGAATATATTTTGGAAAAGTGATTATTGGCATGAACCACATTACACTGCTATTTTTATAGGTCAAAAGCAATTTAATAGCTGTAATTTTGTCTGGTACAACGTTGTTATTGTTGTTGATTGCCTTCTAGTCTAGCACAACTCATCGCAACCCTGTGAACAAAAAGTCTGAAGCCTTATTAAGGCAATAAGAGATATTTGAACCTGAGGTGTTCAAAAGAGGCTTGGTAGCACAGTGGTTAAACACTTGACGGCTACCTGAATGATTTGTGGCTCACGCCCCCCAGCCAGCCCACAGGATGGAGGTGTAGCAGCCTGCTGGGCAAAGCCTTGGATGTACAAGCCAAAGCCTTGGACACCCGCTGGGCAGATCTAACGGGCATTGGGGGCTGAGATCGATTTGATGGCAATAGTTTGGTTTTTTTTGGGTTGTTCAATATTGTCATTTAAATTTTCTCTCTTAATACTGTGTTTCATTCAAGTAGTAGTTTTACAAAAATGTAATATCATTGACTCATCCTGAGTAAATTGACTGGACGTTTTCTTGGATGATTCTGTGGCATTTAATTCAAAGCAATTCCAAGTCAGATTGTAAATTCAATCCAGAGCGTTGAACTGCTTTGAAATGGCTCAGTCGTAACCAAGAAGAACAAGTGCGACTGAGGCTTGACATAGCCCCCAAATTTCATACACTTCACACTGGTCCAAGTGGGACACAGGCAGCAGGATTCCACTCACAGAGGGCAGCCTAGTGCGCTTCAGCAAACGTTCAAAGCAGTCAGTCGGCTGCCCATACAGAGCAGGACACCATGACCTGTTTCCTACTTGAGTCCATGTCAGGTGTGCACGAGATGTGGTTATTATAGTTCCCCTTACCCAGGATTCAACTGTTTCCAACCACTTCAAGTGGATTTTAAGGTCTAAAGACACAAATAGAAACACTTGTAGAGGACTGATGGGCAGAGACAGGAGGAGAGGGAGTGGAAACAGAGGCTGGCGAATGAAACGGTTGGGTTAAGGGAAGAGAAGGTACAGCAAAGAGTCAGTAAGAAGATAAACAACATCAAAACCCCCTGATTCAACCTTGAAGACACTTGAAAAGGTAATGAAGAATCAAATATACGATAGCATATGTTTTTATACAGCCTCTGGAAGATTTCCGTAAATATCACAATGTGGTTCCAGACAGTTCTTTTAAAGCTTGAGAAAGTAAAGTTCCTTACTAAATGCTTTGGCCAAACAAAGAAGAAATGGTAACTATCTTAGGCATGTTTCTTGGGAGTTCCCAGTCTAATAGGAAACACGGACGTAAACACTGAACACAGTGACACGCACAATTAATTCCACCCTCTGGCCAGTGGCAGACGTAATTAGCAAAACATGGAAATAGGGTTAATCTGAATAAATTGAGTGGAAGGGGTGAGTTTAAAGATGAATGTCAGCAGGGAAGGAGCAGCACGAGGGTGCCGGAAAAGCCAGTGCAACATTTACTGAGAAAAGGAGACATTTTCTCTACGCATTTGGAGAGCCGACTCAGTGAGCACCCAAGGTGAGGCTGTTCGTGAGACATGTGCACTGATTGTGACCCGTGAAGCTGCACTCGTGAAACTGACACAATTAAGACATAATGAGCATGGTTCGTATAGAGATGTGCTGCTCACCCAAAGTCTGCCAGCCACTCTGAGAGAAAGAGAGGAGAGGAGAGGAGAGGGAGAGGGAGAGGGAAGAGAGAAGGGAGAGGGAGAGGGAAGAGAGAGAGAGAGGAGAGAGAGAAAAGAGAGGAGAGAGGAGAGACAGACAGAGACAGCAAGCTCACGGAGAGACGAGTGTGTGTTGGAACCAGTGGAATGGCAATAAGCTGCTTAGTTACAGGATTCTAAGACGGGAAACGTTGGCTCTTCCTTTTTAGAGATGGAGGAGGCTGGCAACACAACTCTTCCCTCTAGGCCATCAGAGAACCCCTTATAGCAAAATAACATATTTACTTCATTCTGAAATTCCACAATTAAGAGTGTAGACCATATGCACAGTATGGAAAAGAAAATTTTAAGTCATTTTTTTCCCTCATATTCTTAAGTGTTTATGGCTGCACAGGTGGGCGTGTGTGCACATGTGTGTACAGGTGCTTGCAGGTGTGTGTGCACACATAAAGGTAGGCATGTGTCATTGCTGTGTACCATCAAATCAAAATCAACCCATAGCTGACCCTCCAGCAGGTTTTCAGACGCAGTTAATTGCACAGAAGAAGACAGCCCATCCTTCTCCTGCAGAGCAGCTAGTGGATTCAAACCGTGTGCCTTTGGGATTGCAGCACAGCTCCTTGGTACTGCTGTTAATTTTTTTGCCCTCAAGTCACATGCTACTCATAGCAACCCTACAAACAGTAGCTCTGAACTCTACCCTATTCTGAGCCAATCTCATCGTCTCTGAGAGACCGAATCCCATCTCTCTAGTCACTGAGTCAATCCATCTCATCCTGGGTCCACCTCTTTCCTGGGCTGTCTCTCCACCCTTCCAAGCCTGATGTCTTTCTCCAAGGACTGGACCCTCCTGGCCATGTGCCCTAAGGATGGGAGATGGAACTTCAAAATCCTTGCCTCCAGGGAGCAGCTTGGTTTCACTTTCTCCAGGACAGACCCGTTTGTTCTCCTGGCAGTCCATGGTATATTCAACACTCTTCTCCAGCACCACAACTCAAAGGCATCAATTCTTCTTTCATCCTTAGTCATTGTCCAGCTCTCTGATGCATAGCAAGTACTTGTGAAGACCATGGCCTGAATCAGGTGCATCTTAGTCTCCAGACGGACATTGTTGCTTTTCATATTCTAGAGAGGTCCCTGATAGCAGACTTTCCCAATGCAATTTGTCTTTTGATTTTCTGACTACCAGTGCCAAGAATGTTGATTGTGAAACCAAGTGAAGTGGTTA